CGAGGTGATTAGTTTTATTTTCCAATTTTCTTTATTTAATATCACCTGTATTTCATATAACATTTCCAATATTCTAATGTAATATCGTTATTTTTGTATATTTCATTTTTTGTTTCTTATTCTAATTTTCTTGTTAGAATCAAACATGATTTTATTTGTATTGATTCTGATTATTTCATTTTTATTAAATTTAATTCTTTATTCATTGTCATCATATATTTTATGTATTTTATTCTTTCTATTGCTTCTTTATCATATTCTTTTAATTTCATGATGCACTTTATTCTGTACAATTTCATTGACAAAATCTTCTAGTCTATTTATTTTCTTTAGGATTTCTTTTATTTCATCAAATTTATCTCTTATTATTTTATTTTGGAGATATATGTGAATAACCATTGAAATATTCTTCATATCATCTTGCATATCCTGCATTCTGCTTCCTTGACAATATCAATCTATTATTAATTTCCATTATTAATCAGTCAGCTTCTTTTCTTTGAAAGTAGTAATTAATGTTTGAAGATTTTTCTACTTTCATTTCTTTTATTTTATTGATGAGAGTGTTAAGGTATTCTTCATCAATTTCTGTAGAGTTATTCTTTATTATGTTTTTTCTTTATTATTGAATTACACTCTAGTCTTCTTTCTATTATATCATTTACTTTCACTTTAATATATTGTTTAGTATTTTGTTTTATATTATGTGATATTTTAATATATTTAATAAATTCATTTTCATTATTGACATTGATGTTTGTCACTTTTATTATACTTTTTATTTCTATTCTCAAATTAAAATATCAATAAAATGTGAAAATTGTTAATTAGAACTTATTGACTTGGAATTTAACTGTTCCATTTGTAAAGAAATCACAAATTTGTGATGCTGCAGCCATCCCTGCATTGATATTTGATTCTTCAGTTTCTGCTCCTATTTTAATTGGTGTTGCAAAGAATCTTCCTTTAAACTCATTATTAAATACTTTTGAAGTAGGTGCAACATCAGTGATATAAATTAAGTCTTCTCGTTCTCTCATTATTCTAATAAGTCCTTCTTCATCAATAATTTCTTTTCTTGCTGTATTACATATCATTCCTCCATATGGAAGTTTTTTAATTAATTCATATCCTATTTTTCCTTTAGTTTCTTTTGTTAATGGAAGATGAAGTGAAATAACTTGACATTCTTCAAACAATTCTTCTATTTTCTTTACTTGATTTTCAGTAGTGATAAATGGATCATATACTTTAATTTTCATACCAATTCCTTCTGCTATTTCTTTAACTCGTTTCCCAACATATCCACATCCACAAATTCCAAGTGTCTTATCCTTTAATTCTCTTCCTTTTCCTTCTTTAAATCCTTTTCTAAATCCAAAAATCATCATCCCAATACAAAGTTCTGCAACACCATTCCTATTTTGTCCTGGTGTATTCATTACAACTATTTTCCCTTGATTACATGCTTCTATATCTATATTATCATACCCTGCTCCCGCTCTAACAATAATCTTTACTTTTTCTCCAGCTTTAATTATCTCTTCATCTATTTTATCCGATCGAACAATTACACCATCTGCATCTTTAATCCTTTCAATAACATCCTCTTTCTTCTTATACTTCTCTATCATTACCACTTCATGACCTGCTTTCTCAAGAATCTCTCTAATCCCTTTAACTGCATTTTCTGCAAATGGCTTTTCGGTTATCACAACTATCTTCATCTCTTTCTAAGTCTTTCTCTTTCCTTTAAATACTCTTCTCGTTTCTTTTTTTTTTTTCTTTCTTCTTCATTTCTTCTCTTCAACCACCTTTTCTTTCTATCTTTTCTTGTCTCTTTCTTCCTTCGTTCTTTACAATCTCTCCCTTTTTTCGTTTTTTTTTTTGGTTTTGTAGTTTTTTCAGAAAAGGAAAAACTAAAAAGAAAAAAATTAAAAATTAAAAAAAAGGAGATACAAGAGGAGATATAACTGCTTTTTTTATTTTTATGGAAGGATTATTCTTTTTTTTTTCTTCTAAAAAAAGAAACAAGCTGATTCTTTTGGTGTTGTAATTGACTTTTTTTTTATCTTGATGATATAAAAAGAGCTATAATCTTCAAAATAGTATTCTAATGAAAGCCTTACACTCTTCTGATAAATCACAATCAAACTCTGAAGGAAATGAAGTTCAACAAAGCTCTGATTCAAAAGAGATTGAAATGACTGCATTTGAAGTAGATGAAGGGTATGTAGAAGAAGAAATTGAACCATTACATAAGAAACATCCTAATTGTTGTCAAATTGCTTTTATGCAAAGAGCACCAAAATATATTAGAAAAGGAAGAAAAGGAAGTTTAAATGTTAAAGAAATTGGACAATTACCACATACACTTGATATTGAAATGACTCATAAAAAAATTACTAAATGTTGGGAAAAAGAAATAGAAAAACATCCTAAAAGTCCATCATTATTAAGAACATTATTTAGAATGGAATGGGGTCATTTCTTGATTTGTTTTATTGCAATTATGATTTCACAACTTTCAACATTAGTTATTCCTGCTATTATTCAATTTATGGTAGAATGGGTTGCAGAAGATGAACCAGAAACATGGAAAGGAGTAGTGTATTTACTTGTTATTGCATTTATGCAAATATTAACATCATTTTGTTTTCAATTATCAATTAAATGGATTTTTGTCTTATCATTAAGACTTAGAAATGGATTAATTTCTATGATTTATGAAAAATCATTAAAATTAAATTCAGCATCAATAGAAGAAACTGGGAAATTGGTTAATTTAATGTCAAATGATGCAATGCTTTTTGTTGAACAATTACCATTAGTTATTACTGGGTCATGTGCACCAGTATTATTTTTAATAGTATGTATAATTCTTCTTTGTATTATTACATATTGGGCTTTTATTCCAATTGGAGTCTGTTTAGTATTTGTGTCTGTTAATACGATATCAGGTAAAATGATTGGATTTTTCTTCCGTAAAACACAAAGTGCAACTGATAAACGATTAAACTTTTTAGGAGAGATTTTAAGAAGTATTAAATTTATTAAATATAATGCATGGGAAGAACCACTTCATAAAAGATTAAGGAAGTTAAGAACAAAAGAATTGTGGTGTATGGGAGGTACGATGTCAGCACGATCAACCTTAGTTACATTAATGTTAGAATTATCTCCATTCATGGCATTTGTATTATATCTTGTTTATATCCAAATTGATTATCACTTAGAAGTTGGTAAA